TATTCACCATTATTGTCTCCTGGCTATTGCCGGTATGCTAACCATGCAGCTTGGAATCCTTGGATGAACACTCGAAGATATCGCGTCTCATATGTTAATTGGAATGCAAACCAGTTGATTGGTACAACGGGGTCTTATATCATTCTTAACCTTAAGCATTATTAATTTTATAATTCTTTTTTGCGAGCGTTCGAAGGATTCAATTGCTTTGCTTATTCTCATTCAGCATGGGATTTATTTCGCTATGCTCTGAGAATATGTGATTTGTTGTTGTGCAGCGGAGAATTTCTTTTGCATTGTCAATCAAAATATTGACTGATTCTTTGCATTTTTTAGATGAGATATGTCTGGAGGAGAATACTTGAACATTAATGTTTTTTATTCATTGAATGCATATTCATGCGGGAAATACTTTGCGCCCTTAATTCTCAGCCGAAAGAGGGTGGAAAAATGTGAAAAATGGCTTAAAAAATTCATTCCATTTTATAGAAACCCTTTCAAGCCAGTGGAGACTGATTCGAAGAGGACAAATTTTTTAAGAAATGTTTGAAAATACGAGGTGGAGGGGCCGCCATCTTTGAAACCCCTTCCGGCGGGGGGAGGGGGCATCCAGGCAAAATGGCGGCACCCCCGTGTTTCGATCACTTCGCATATTCGAACATTTCTTACAATTATTCATCCTTTTCTGATAAAGTTGAACTCGTTTCACCCAATTCCTTGGAAAAGAACAAATTTTTTAAGCCATATTTGACATTTTTTCATTTGTTATTGTTTTTTTTTCTTCAATTGTTAGAACGATGTTTATGATAAGACAAAAATTATGGAGCAGTGGAAAAATTTTTGGTCGAATAATTCGAAATTTTACAAATTTCCATGATTTTTTAATTAGCATTCATGACAATGCGAGTAATTTCCACGCAAAGTTAACAATATTCAGAACTCATTCAGAAAGAAAAAAATTGTCGTATTTAAAATTCAATAGACTTATCATTTCACAGTCACATAAAATGAAAAAAAAAAACCAGCGAGACCATGAGGCGTCAGGCCATGGGGGCTTACCTTGGACCACATTATGCCATCCATAGCTCCCCATGCGTCTCCCTCTTATGAGCTCATTTCAAGTATTGTTATAACTGTATTTTTAATTTAAAACCGTCCTCAATGTACACGACTCACCCATACACATCGCTAACTGAGGTTTAATTACAAGCCGGCTGGCTATACCTCTCACCGTTTGAAATTGCATCTGACGGATGAAAGTGATTTACGTACTGCGAGAGGAATAGATAAAATACTCAGATAAAAATAAATCATATTTATGAGAAAATTCCATGATGTTATTCATGATCATAACCGACAATCGTTTATTCGCGGAATTGTCCATCAATGAGGAAAATCACCGGTTACACAGGAACAAGTTCTCGTTCGCACAATTCACTTTTTATTTGTTTTTGAATTTATGCGATGGAGGAGTCTGCATTAGCAACAATTGATAATGAGAATTTCTTCACACCTTGAAAGGAATTTTTTTTTTAATTTTTTGTTTTTTATTTAATGATTTGTATTGAATTATGTCTAAATGCAAAAAATGGAGATCATGATTTCATGAAATGATTCTGTTTCTCCAAAAATGGGATCAATATATTGATTTCTCGAAGCAAAATAATAATACACAGGATCAGTTATTATCAAAATTAAAAAAAAAAATGAACAAATTCAAAAAGAGATTCCACCATTATTATTAAAAAAAGGATAAAATAACCCGTTTTTAATCCTCAATATCTCCAGATCCGCGGAGTGAAAATCAAATTTTCTTTCTTCATGTCAAAGACATTTTTTCAGACTTCAAAATGAGGGCTGATTTTCTCCAATCACATCATTTGTTCATGAGATAATGACTATTACATACAAAACCGTTTTCCAAAATTTAATTTTCTTATTTCAAAATGTTTCAAAGTCTTACATTAAATGACAAAACGTCAAGTCAGCGAAACAAAGCCGACTCGACGTCCTTCAGAAAGCGGTCATATCTCCGATTGAGGGCGGAATAATTCCCGAAAACGCATTATGCAAGTATTTACATTCCAATCTTATTGCTGATTGCTGATGACATCTTCCAATAACGAATCAAAGTTAAACCTCAAAATTGTCACACATCGTCCGAGCACCGGTTTTTGATCGAGGCCTTTCTCAGTCGTTAGCCAGCCTTTGGCAAATTTAGGGCTTTTGAAATCAAGAGTAGAATAAGTCGAGGTTGTACATCTGCCAAGAGGAAGCCTTCATTCAAATTCTGGTGCAATTTCCTTGTGTGTAGTGCTATTGGTTAAGAACTCAAATTAATTCAGTAGCGAAGTGGAAAAACAGTTCAAGTCGATTCTGATTATTAGTCAGTTTTTAGTGAATATCTCGGAATCTAAGAAAAACACCTAAATTTTTGTCAAGAACTTTTTTGTAGCACTCAATTAGCTCTAGAAAAAAGTTTATTACGAAAATTTCATTATCTCCTTTAGATTCGGAGATATTCTTAAAAAACTCAACTAAGAGATAAGTCGACTTAAACCATTTTACCACTTCGCTACTGAATTCAAACTTTACAATAAATTTAGATATCTATAAATCAAGTGAATTCGAAATTAGTGGGAGAGAGTTGAGTTCGATACGTTAGTATCACGAAAAGTAAACAGAAACTAGAATGATAAATCTAAAATCAAGTGGAAGACAGAAATTAATAAACATCCAAGTTATAATTCCAAACACATTTTGGAATTATAACTGATCTAAAACCGGAAATGAGTGAGTGCAAAAGTGATCTTGAATGCAATCTAAGAACGTATCGAGAGGCAAGATAAAATAATTGTTTATTCAAAATTAACGTGACGAATTATCATTTCGTGCCTCTCCTCATAAAAAAATTGTGTTAAGCATGTCTCGTGGAATTCCCATAACGTTCCTGAACTGATAAATGTATCTGAAATTGAAGATTAATTCTCTTTGTTTTCCAATCTTCATTTAAATCCTTGCAAGGAAGTAAGCGTCGTCCTAGCATTGAAAATAAAATAGATAAAAGTTAAATCTTGTATTGATAATTTCTACATATTTGTGGAGATGATTTAAATGCGTCTCGATACTTATCCTCCGACGAGGGATAACGTCTCCGGACATGAGAACCGGCTGCAGATAAATGAATGAAGAATGCAACTTTTAAAATGATCAATTGGTTAATACTATATTTTTATAATAAGAAATTGTAATTTTGGTGCTCGATTTCTTCTGGTTTGTTGATCGTATTAAATCAAATTGCCCCAGAAATCTCGAAATGTTGACAATTGAAACATTTTGTATGCGTTTTCAAGAAAGATCTCCAGAACCGCATAAGTGAAAATAAAAAAATTTTAAATGAGTGATATTGACGATTTATTATGCAATGCAAAGAGTCATTGCGTCATTAGAGACATAAAATGACCGTCATTTTTCGACATATGAGGCGATCTCAGTGAGTAATTTTTTTATTACCAATTTTTATTTTAATTCACGTTTGTATTAGCCTAATGTGCATTTTGAAATGAAAATTGCGGTCATTTTTCATCATCATTTTTTTTATTTATGGCCGCCATTATACGTCTATATAAATGTTTTGACAACAATCTGTGTTCAAATTATTTGTGGCCACCAGTGGTAGTTAACAAATTTGTCCGTCACATGACCGTAATTTTGGTCATATGACGCGATCTTGAAAAATGACGGTCATGTGACGGACAAACTTTCTAATTACAAATGATAGTCACAAATAATTTGCACGTAAAAGATCTGTAGAGATGTACAATGACGGTCATAAATTTAAAAAAATTTGAGGATGAAAAATTACCGTAATTTCCATTTCGAAATGTTCATTAGGCTAATACGAAACCGATTAAAATAAAAATTGGTAAATAAAAAATCAAATTGCGTCTATACAGAGGAAAATGACCGTTATATTTTTTTGAAAAATTCTAGCGGTCAAAGAGTGAGAAGGGAATTGTGACCATCATATGACGACTAATATGACGGACAAATTTTCCAAGTACCAATGATGGCCACAAATAATTTGTACTCAAATTTCAATTTGTACCGAAATGAATAATGACGATCACAAATATAAAAAATTAATGAAGCCGAAAAATGACGGTAATTTTCCTTCCGAAATGCTCATTAGTCTAGTTCGAAAGCAATAAAAATAAAAATTGATAAACAAAAAATCAAATTGCATTTATACAGATGAAAAATGGCCGTTATATTTTCAAAAAAAATTCTAGCGGTCATAGAATGAGAAGGGAAATGTGACGGTCATATGACGACTAATATAACGGACAAATTTTCCAACTGCCAACGATAGTCACAAATAATTAGTCCCCAAACCGATGCACAATAACGATCACAAATATAAAAAAATTAATGAAGCTGAAAAATGACGGTAATTTTCCTTTCGAAATGCTCATTAGTCTAGTTCGAAAGCAATAAAAATAAAAATTGATAAACAAAACATCAAATTGCATTTATACAGATGAAAAATGGCCGTTATATTTTCAAAAAAAATTCTAGCGGTCATAGAATGAGAAGGGAAATGTGACGGTCATATGACGACTAATATAACGGACAAATTTTCCAACTGCCAACGATAGTCACAAATAATTAGTCCCCAAACCGATGCACAATAACGATCACAAATATAAAAAATTAATGAAGCTGAAAAATGACGGTAATTTTCCTTCCGAAATCCAAGGCAGATACTTAACGAATAAAAATAAAAATTGCCCAAACCGACAGTTACATTTTTTTTTAAATTCCCACGGTCACGAGTAAGGCGGCAATAGTGACCGTCATATGACGGGTGCCGTCGCCGTCCCTCCCTAGGTCCCCTTCATTACCGATCGCGTTGTTTCCCGGCTGCCGATAAATAACGCAAAAAAATCCCCCTTACCGACACCGGCATTCCCCCAAAAATCCACCATTTCGGAAGAACCCACGCGCAAGCGGCTCGAGTCAAGTCGTAAACTAGTGTTTTGCACAGCACGCTACCGAGAAATCCGCTTCTCTCCACCGATTGACCGAAACATTAGCCTCGCGACCCGCAATAACCGATCGCATCCTCAGCTGTGACTCTCATCGCATCGAGGGGTGAGTGAAAATCCGAATTCTTATATATCTCGCGACAAAATCGACCTGCGCACATAACCTCGAGCGCAGCCCAGTATTGGAGCGCAATTCCGTAGTCGAGGGGTATTTGGGATTGAGTTGGGGGGAATAATCGAGGAAAAATTAGGGGGAAAATGAGTCCGTTGAACAGAGGGCCATTGTTGGGTCCGAGAATGCCGCCGGCGGGGATGCGCCCGCCACCGCCGAGATTCGGTAGAATGCCGATGCCTGGGATGCCACCGCGTATGCCACCACCACCGATGCCACCGATGCCACCGATGGGGGGTATGTTTGGGCCGATGAGACAGAGAATGCCACCACCACCACCGAGGCCAGGTGGCATGATGAGGCCCGGTGGGCCACCACCTCCACCACCGCTCTTTGGGCCGAGGGGAAGGGGACCACCACCCCTCATGATGCCCATGATGGGGCCCAGGGGCATGGGACCCAGGGGCCCACCCATCAGACCTGGGCCCAGGGGCATTCTCCCGCCCCAGGGGCTCCCTCACATGAGACCCAGATTTCCACCCGGCAATGGCAACATGAAGGGAAAGGGCATCAATAATGCCAAGAAGGTCAGCAAGTTGGAGGTAATTGTCCACGGATTTTGCATCTTTACCTTTAGGGGAAAACTAGCTGGGTAGCCCCAGCAATTGCGAAATTACGAGAATTTTCGCCATTTTTTTGGAAAGTTGATCAGTTGAAACAAAAAATTTTTTTAGAAAATCTGAGAATTCGAGTGATTTACGAGAAAATTTTCAGATTTTCTAGTATTTTCTGAGAATTCAAGAGTGTTTTCGAATTTTCTGTGAAACCGAAGAATTTTCTCAAATTTTGTAGAAAACCTGAGAAATTGCTTGAATTTTCTAGAAAATTCAAGAGTTTTTTCCCATTCTGCTGCTCAGAAATTTGGAATTTCAATTAAGTTCATTAGAATCTGAAATTCAATAACTTTTTTCGCCCCTAAAACAAATGCGATATGAGAATTCACTCGGATTTTTCACATTTTTTTGGAAAGTTGATCAGTTGAAACAAAATTTTTTTTAGAAAATCTGAGAATTCGAGTGATTTACGAGAAAATTTTCAGATTTTCTAGTATTTTCTGAGAATTCAAGAGTGTTTTCGAATTTTCTGTGAAACCGAAGAATTTTCTCAAATTTTGTAGAAAACCTGAGAAATTGCTTGAATTTTCTAGAAAATTCAAGAGTTTTTTCCCATTCTGCTGCTCAGAAATTTGGAATTTCAATTAAGTTCATTAGAATCTGAAATTCAATAATTTTTTTCGCCCCTAAAACAAATGCGATATGAGAATTCACTCGGATTTTTCGCATTTTAGGAAATGTTGCATCGTCTTGATGACATGATGGCTAGGGGAGGCATTTCTTGAACTGATCAGGTTTTCTCTCTAAATCAAGAATTCTAATTATTCCAATTGATTCTAAAATTAACAAATTGTCTTCTTAAAAATATCAATGACCTGAGCAAATCCCCCGAATCTCCAAAGATATTTTGCGAATAATTGAGGCGAATCGAGTCTCAAAAAAACCCTAAACAATTTCCCTCTACCCTCCAGGAACTCGAATTAAAGAAACCCTGGATGACAGACGAGATTCGAAGTGAGATTCAAAAGAAAAACAAACTCTATGCCAAAGCCAAAAAGAATAAGGACGCTAAAGAGTGGGAGGAGTTCAAGGATCTGAGGAACAAAGTGACCAGAATGATCAGAGACGCCAAGAACGAGTATCTTGCCAAACACCCAGACCAGGTACGTTCCACATCTCTCCCCAACCCACACTTCATTCTGATTGAACAATAACTGTGTTAATTCTGCATTCAAAAAATCACTCAAAAATTCCCAATTCTCAAAGTATTAAAAAACCATAAAATTATCCTCTTAAATAAACCAAAAAAAAATCAGAGAAACTATTTTAATTTCAATAACTGTTAAATTAATTATTTTATTCAACCAGTGAGAGAGAAATTTACTAGAAGAATTGGGTTGTTGCATAATTTATTTTATTAAACAGAATGACTGATATTAGATCTTTATTTATTCATTTTGCGGAATAATAAAAATTAATAAGTCTCAGGGAATCGTCAATGGCTTATCAATTTTTTACGATGAAAAAAAATTCTGAGAATGACTTCTAATATTTTTTATTCACCTGCGACAACTAGTAATAAAATAAATTAATGCAAAACCCCAATGCAAACGACAAACGTCAGTTGATAAAAGCCGATTTAATTCCAGGGTGGTCAGAAAACAGGTGATAAGAATACAGTTGAGTCCGAGGGTGTTCAGGAAACTGAAAAATGTGAAAGACAACCTGAACAAACAGTGCAAATGGAAGTTAAGGAGGAGACGCAGCCTACCAGCGAACAGGCTCAGTCTTAAAGCTTCGGGCTACTCCTCCAAAATTAAACTTGAAACTATTGAAAAAAAAAACGAGTTGATTATTCTAAATTTAAAGCCCTAATTTTGCGACGTAAACTAGTGCTCACGTCCCAATTTGTGTTTGAGAGAAATAAAAAATAATAATAATAAACTAGTGGAGCATTGAATAATCTTGTAGCACTGACGAATGCATTGAAGCTTGGATATTGAATTTTCCAAATATTGAATACAGTTCAATGACTATTTTCGAAGGTATTGAGGTGGTATGACTCGATTTAATTAATTATTGGGACAATTCAAAATTTATGAAACTTTAAAAATGTAAGACATGATCTCAGGGGAAACAGCGAATGAGAATGAAGAAATCATGTTTAATCTGGAAAAACTGAACTGAAAATGATGGAAACATTGACTTTTAATGGACTAATAGATGACTATACTACTTCAATGACCTTCTGAACATTTCCAAAACAGTTTCCATACTGAAGATTAATTTTCATTCACCGATATACAACGTTCAAAGACTGGTATCAACAAAATGCCAATTAACTGATTGACCAGTGCTTCGAGCCCAATAACATTCCTCGCTGATATGGCAATAGCATTGTGTCTTTACGACAACACGAAATCGAGAGATCACAGATGAGATGAATTTATTTCTAGATTAACTTATTAAGTAATGGATTATTGATTTAAAGTAAGAACTCAATTCACTCCTGTCACTTATCAGAATTTTGTTCCCTTTGTATGTAGTAAAGAGATTTTTTTTCTGGCTTAATCCCCAATTGTCATCAATTCTTGTTCTTGCTGTTTGTTTCAAATGACATTTGTACCTTGTTTGTAATAATCGGTATCCACGCAATTATTGGAAACCTAGAGAACACGGTGGACATAAAGAAATAAATTTGTATTCAAATTTTAAATGTAAGGAATAAATGATATTTCTACAAGTTCTAAAACTGTTGTTTCTCGTACTTTTTTTTATTTTTTTTTTTTCACACGAAGTGGTGAATTATTTGTCGTTTTGATGGTTTATCTGGGTATTTTTGTTTTCTTCAAACTTAATATTAAAGAGGAATGGAGAAATTATCTTCCCTGAAGCTTTTCTAGTTTCCTGAGCACCATTCATTTATCAAAATAAATGGAAGAGGTTTTTCACTCGTGAAATGATATTAACACAAAATTTTTATTGATTTACAAAACGAATTTTAAGCAAAAATTTTTAGGCTGCCTTGTACCAAGATGAGCCCTATTGTGATATAAGAGATGAGAATTATACGAGCAATGAGGAGGATGATTCTTACTACTGTGAAATATGTGATCGTGATTTTCAAACAGAAAAATTACTCAATGATCACAAGAGTACACATCGGGTTTGTGGTATTGATGGTTGTACATTTTCGGCTCATCCGAAGTTAGTTGAGAAACATATCACGATGCAGCATTGCACTGGATTGTATCATAGGATGAAGAATATGAAAACACCTGAGGAAATTGAGAATTGGATTGCAGAGAGGAAAAGGTAATTCAAGGGTCAGGGGAAAAATATTTGTTTGATGCAAAACAACGACCAAATAGCTACATTTTTGCTTCGAGAAATTTGTACGAATGATTCAACGAGATTGCTATTTGTTTCTCCTTTCGGCTATTCAATACTCAAAGACAAGAAATGAATTTTTAAATAGAATAACAATGACGATGCGATAGCAACCCTGTAACTTCGAACGAAATATTTATCATTTAGCTTCACTTCATGAGAGATATTCTCATCCTGAAATGACACGGTCTCCGCGCGAATCATCAGCCTCTCGAGCAAAATGTTTCGTTGCCAAAAGCAGCTACAAAATATCTACATGTTCATGCTGCGTCTTCCAAATCTTAACCCATTGTCCACAGAGAATGGGAAATTATCCGCATAATGCAGATTCTCAAAGTGATGGACCCATAGATCGTTAAATCATCCTATTATCCATGTTCGGAAATTCTTTACGTTGAAACAAATTTTGCTGTGTAAATTCTTTGAATTATTGAAATATTCGTCAATTTTTATCACATTCGTCGCTGTTGATATAAAAAAACTTTTTTTTCCGTCAAACATTCAAGAATTTGCTGAAAAAAATTGCTGTCTACTATTTATTGTAGGAAATATCCAACGAAATCAAACATTGAGATGAAGCAAGCGGAGACACTGGAGAAGAAAGAGCGAGGTGAAATTATCAAACAGGCGAAAGGTAAATTTCAGTCCCCGCAAACTAAAAAGCCACTGCGTGAGAGGAGACGCAGAGGGAGAAAACGACGACTCGTCGAGATCAAAGCAGAACCCGAAGAAGAGGAAGTAACCGAGAGCTACAGAGGGGTTCAGCCCTTCAGAGGGACAAGTCAGGATTTTTCACTAATTTTTCCCTCGTTAATTTGCATGAAGTCCATCTAGATGATAAACCAATTACGAATTTTCTTAGATTCATTAGTGGAAGTCGAGGAAGAAGTTCCGGAAGCTGAAGAAGAAGTCGACAATGCATCAGCCATTCAATTCTCAGATGATGACGACTTAGTAATGCCGATAATCTCAAATACCCAAGTCAAACCACCCTTCAGTTTAGTAGCGGATTATGGAAGTGATTCCGACGGTAATTATCTCCCACTTTATTCCCAATTTCCCTGAATTCGTGAATTCTCGATTCAAAAAATTGTTGAGAAACTAAAAAAAATTATTTGATTCGTCAAATTTAATTCCATTTTTTCCATTTAATTTTATATTCTTCAATTATTTTAAAAAAAAATGTTAAATTTAGTGCACTCATACCTCGAAATAACCGTCCCATATTTTTTACATTCAAGAGCCACCGGACGAAGTGCCGATTAAAAAAACAAAAATAGAAGAGCCTCAAGTACCTGAATGTCTTCCAACGCCTGCCAATGTACCTGTGACGAAAGAGAAACCTCCGAGAAAAGAAGTTTCCAGAAGAAAGGCTCGAAAAACAGTAGACGAACCACCGAAACCGACGAGAAAATTGCTGCACCAGCAGAAGAGGTCAATGTTCCTGGACCGATTGCTATCCCGATCAATCCAACACGAACGCAATTACATATGCCAATGCATCAAGTACATAGTGGACAATAATTTCTTCGACTGACGAAGAAAGCAAAACTTTATATTTTTCTAAAATAAAAGACATTTATTACACTAAACTCAATTTACAATGCAGTACCGAAGTACCAAAGCGCAACTTATTCCTCCCCACCTGGCCTCCCAAAACGACCTCCATCAAGACAAAACGTCAAAAGATATTTTCACTGTTAAATCTAATCCTCAAGAAAAAAACTTACTCTTCCCCTCGCTCTCCTCCTGAATTCAATCCCCGAGAAATTCCCACTCCGCCGTCACCTCCTCACCCCCATCACTTCGAAAACCGTTTCTTCTTCTTCTTCCGCCCCTCGCCCTCCCGAAAATTTCCCTCCGCCAGCTCCTCGGAGTTCCCCCGTTTCTCCCCGCTCTTAACCGAAACCAGGGATTTGCTCCCTTTGCTCTTCAGCACATGGCTCCACTCCTCCTCACTCCCCTTGATCGCATACTGCTCAAAGTTCTCCCTCTTCAGCCTGTCCAGCTCGACCCTCTGCTTGAGCTTCAGCTCCCTGGCAGCGACATCCAACTCCTGCTGGAGACTCTTCCCCCTCGCCGCATCCACCGTCACACTATCCCTCCCCTCCCTCCCCCTCATGCTACTCTCGACAAACTCCTCAGCCACGCCATTCAAATACTGCATACACCTCCTGATGACCCTGTTGAACAGCCCAAGAAGCTGCGAGGAGGGCAGCCCCAGCTCCTCCGCCAGTTTATCCACACTCTTCTGCTGGAGTCCCACCCCCAGGAGAATGGCCTCCTGCACAGCGGACAGCCTGGTCTCCCCCATCATCCCCAGGAAGTACAGCCTAGCGAGCGGTGGCAGCAGGTCCATCACCAAATGATAATCCACCATGTTATTAGAGTACCCCTCCAGCCTCTTCAGATCATAAGCCGTGAAATAAACGTCCAGCACATCCTTCTTAATGACAGCATTCTCCCCCTGAAATGTCTTATTGCTCAGCACCCCCAGAGCCATTCCAGGCGAATAAGCTGAGAAGCCATACGACAAAAGCGTGACGAACCTCCTCCTGAAGTCCTTCCAGAACTCCTCGAGCCACCGAAACTCCTGTCCCTCAGACTCCACTTTACCGATCATAATGCAGGAGTGCTCCCCAGTGATGTCGTTGGTGGTCTGTCTCACATAAACAGGCACGAAGCCAGCGCGCTTCCAGAACTTGAGGAGTCGCTCGGTCAGTCCGAAGGACACACCGATGTAATCGAGCCTCTCAGGCCTCCTCTCACTCAACTTGAGAAGCAGCGGTGGCAGCGAAGCCCTGGGCTGAATGGTCTCCTCGAGCAGATCCACGTGCTCCTCCTCGACCCTCTTGATCTCGCTGTCCTCCACCTCCTCGACATTCGGAATTTTCATCTCGTAGTACTGTTTCAACAGCTCCAGAGCTCTCCTCCCATACCCCATGCTGTGGTAATCAGGGTGGGTGGCTATCCTCACGATCCTGGCGCCTGCCAGCCTGGGGAAGTCGTTGTCCTGGTACTGCTGGGCTATCGTCCAGGGGATGAGGTCCCCCGAGGCCCTCTTGCCCCTGCCCAAGCCCTCGGCGACAGTGGACTTGCTGATCTCCCCCTCGAGACACACCTGAATCACCACAAGAATTTCGGGTAATGTCCTCCCGTTGGGGTCCACCGGCCCCAGGAGACAGAAGAGGTGGTGCGCAGGGGCGTCGGACATCATCTGCAGGTCATTCGGACTGTTCTTGTAGTGAGAGGCGACGTACAGGGCCACCAGCCTCTGCAGGAAAACCTCGGATGCCTTGTGGTACGAGAACAGGGTGTCACGATTGATGTAGTACAGCTGACAGACGTCTGGTGGTGGACATCCAGAGAGGACTGGCGCGTGGGTTATGGCATCGAGACAGAGTAAATTCGTCAACCAGCTCTCAACGTCGTCCCCAGGTCTGTAGCGAATGGATTCGTCCAGGGTCAATTCGTGGAGCTGTCGACCTATGAGGGACTTGTCGCTCTTCTTGTCGTGAGTGTTTGGAGCTGCTGTCTGGCTCCTCAACTGCTGGAGAAGCTTGAGGGAGAGGGACCTCCCGGTGCCCTCGTAACCGTTGATGGTCGAGGCCAGGAACACGAGGTAGGGGCCCAGCATTGCCTTGACGTAGGGCAGAGGTATCGCAGCTGCTTCGTCGATTACCAGCAATTCAGCTTGACTCAGTTTGTGGGCGTCTGTGGGATGAATGTACTGAATTGTCTGGCGGTGGTCCCTGTGCACGTCAATTCGGACAGTGGCTCTGTTGAACTCGGGATTTGTCGACTGAATGAGGTCGTAATCGTGTCGGTCCTCGTAGGCCAGGGCCTCGAAGCCCTTGACGATGAACTCGAAGAGGGTGTTGAGGTTTTCGGGACTGGGGCTGGAGATGTAGATGTTGGAGTAGCCGAAGGCGACAGCACCTGCTATGGCCAGGCCCAGGGTTGCTGACTTGCCTCGACCTCTGGCTGCTGTCAGGGAGACTGTTGACCTGAGGGTCTTCTCGGAGATGGCCTCGATGAACTTGAGGAGCGATTTCCCCTGGTCCACTGTTCGGCAGAGGCTCACCAGGGAGGCGACTGGCTGGGTGTCCTGGAAGCTCTCCTTCAGGGCGTTCAGGTCGGGGTTCTCCGCGCTCGATGGGGACTTTGGCACTGGCTCGATTTTCAAGTTCTTGGAGGAGATCGGCAGGACTCGCAGCTGATCGTCCACCACTAGGCAACGACTGCACGACGCCAGGGAGAGGAGGAAACGCTCGTTGAATCTGCACACCACGTCCTGGTGGGCCTCTGTGCGGTACCTCTGGTGGACGTCCATACTCATCGTGTAGAGCTGCTTCAGGGAGGTCACAGACTGCAGCAGGAGGACTATCACGCCGCCTCCCTCGACGGTTTCTATCGTTCTGGCCAGGAGGTTTGGCGTCAGCGCCTCGAAATCCTGGAGGATGCACATGCCGAAGGTGTTGCCCAGGATCTTGTGGGTCTCGTTGTAGTAGCAGTAGCGAATTTTTGCCGAGGCGACGAATAGCTCGAAGGGGTCGTCCTCGTTTATGTCGATTTTTCCGGATTTCACTTTTTTCTCGATCTTCCTCTGGCGCTTCTGGCGGTGGCTGCTGAAGCCCAGGTCTTTTTTGTAGCACCAGAGGACTGACGGGCGCGCTTTTACCACCGTTTTTGAGAGCATGTGGTGGAGGAGGACCACCTGGAAGGGGAGGGTTTCGTTAGGGGGTGAGAACGTTGAGGGAAATCGAGGGATTTGAGGGGAGAATTCCAGTCAGAAATTATTGTCCACGGGGATTCTCTTGTTTTCTTGAAAAAATTGAGAGAATCCCCCTCACTCTGACTCGAATTTTCCATTTTATTTCTCTTCATTTTTTTAAGAAAATGAAGAGAAATAAAAATAATATAAAAAAATAGAAAAAAAATAAAAAAATATAAATATAAAAATGAAGAGAAAAAAATGGAAAAAACTTAAAAATTCAGGTCATTCTACTTTTTTCTAGGGGAGGCTGGGGTAAAATGGACACTGGACTTTTTATTAATTACTCATAACTCTGAAACAAATTTATCAATTGAGCTCAGAAATATTAAATTTTCTCAACATTTCAACCTGTCATTAAAATTTTTAAAAAAGTCAAATGTGTCCATTTTACCCAAATCTCCCCTGTAAAGTAGTTCCTGTTGCACATTCTCCATTAGAAAAGGCACAGTAAAGCTGCAGAATTCATTAATAAAATCAGCCGAAACCTAATGGAATTCTGAGTAGAAGTGCAATATAAATTCAGTCGAATTTTCTATCAAAGTCACTAGGTTTTTCGATGAGTCTCTCAATAACAGACTCTATGAAAGAGAATCAGAAAAAAAATAGAAGATAAAGGTCAAAACATTTCACAATAATTATAATGTAAATAATTTTCTCGCTTCTTGCACTTTGAATGGAATAACTTTCGATAGCTATTGAATTTTTGCAACAACAATAAATAAAATGAACAATTCAATTCAATTGACATTAAGATTGTCAATTATTAAATTTCTCTTTTTAATTACGTGAATGCGACTAAAAACACGATTTGCTAAAAGATATTTCTTCAGGAATCATCTTTTTATGAATAAATAATCAAAATTTTTATTGATGGTGTTAGCAAACCTGATCTCTGGCCTTTTCGCCGATAACGACGAAGAATGTGCGATGGCCCTCGGCAACTCCATTCTCGATTAAAACCCGAATTCTGTTGTCAATCTTCTTTCGAACCATTTTCTTTACTTTTGAAGGCAAGCGGCGTGAACTGTTTTTTGAGGTTAAAAACAACGTGGTCTTGTCCCCCCTGACGGAGCGCTCGACAGGGCGAGATCGACTTGTTCACTCAGTCGATAAGTGTTCGACAGTGTGGCCTCATTACCATTGGGCTCGCTATTTACCGACGGCGGCGTCGACCTCGTCAAGCAATGATTTTCAAATTGGTTCAAATTGGTTCGCGGCACCGGTTGTGGTAGCCCGTCCTCACAAACTTTAATTTTCCTCGCGTGTTTTTGGGATGATAATCATCGATCACAATGTTGTTTTTAACGTACGCAGACGTCTTCAGTTTCTGTGGTAGCACGGTAGCACAGCAAGCTCGAAGAACATCATCGAGGATCAAAATATTCTCAATTCGGGGAATTTATTCACATGTGGTGTATTCAATCCACTTTTGACACTTTTGACTTTTTTTTAAATGTTAATGACGCGTTGAAATGTTGATAAAATTTAATAATTCTTTTTTCATTGCAAAGAACAATTCGTTCCCTTTGTGATGAGCTTAAACTGAGCTCAATTGATAAATTTGTTTCTGAGTTATGAGTAATTAAAACAAAAGTCTAAAGTGTCCATTTTACCCCACTCTCCCCTATATCAATATCAATTCGAGTTTCAAGGTTATTGGATCTAACAATTGAATATTTCCGATCTGACTGGGAACTTAACTCCGGGTTATTGAGCGATGTATTATGACATCCTTTAACACATCATTTCCTTGTAATTATTCTTTTTTTGCGTTTCTCCGGTGTTTTTTAATGAGCAGTTGTGTTTAACCCTCTAGGGTGAAAGTCGGCCTGAGAAACGCCCATTCACCTCCGAAAGAATATCGGTAGTCGACGTCAAAACATCAATTAACAGATTAAAAAATTATTCCTGTAACCCACATAGTTTATTAAATCTTCTTTATACAATGAAAATGGCGATTAGAGATCTAAAAATGCAAGTCTTATACAAAACACCCATGTAAGAGGTGGGACAATAAATTTGTTCGAGTAATTTTCCTCATTTTCCTTTTATTTTCAGAAAACAAAAATAAAAAAATTACCCAATATCTCGATCTCTATCTGCCAAGTACGGTACGTGAAAGGTTCATATCCTACACCCAGTACTGTAAATACATTCGTCAAAATGAACTCCAGTCGATAACGAAAAATAATATAAAATAAAACAGAGCGAACTTTACATAATTTCCTCTCCTCCATCTCGCGAATTAGCTGTAATAGATTTCTTACGTCTATTCGTTTCTTCGTTTAATTTTCAAACATTTTTCGTTAATCCTATTATATAATTACGCAATATACTTATAGAAAAATTAAACTAGCTACATCGATATTTACATAAAAAGGCAAATGTGAAATACCTGAATTATGTTATTTTTTTTTCTATCAACTTCATTATTTTCTTTGTCTGTTAACATTATATAAAAATATTGAATCTTTAGTTAAAATTTTCCTTCATATCGCATTACGATGTATGCAGTAGTATAAATATTGTAGCAATGCAGCAGTCAATTATGCACAGTGTTTTCTTTTTCCATAGATCTATGAATAATCAGTAACTTTGCATTTATCCAGAATATACCTCAATCATTTGCCTTTTATTAATCAAACCACAATATGCGTCATAAATCAGTTAAATGCACAAATTGCAGAAAATGTTGTCTATTATTTTCTCCTTCATATTGTTGCACAATAATTTTTAAAATATAACTCCACGGAAAATTCGTTTTCCTTTCTCTCATTAATTACGACTCGTGTTTTAAAGTCATTTTTCCCTTTCTTTTTCTCCTGTTGTTTCAGTTTCTGAGGGAGAAATAGAGGATTTTATCATCACTTAGCACCTAACAAGTTACAATTCATGCGCTGCATGATCACTCAGTGATCGCAATATGATGCATTCGAGTTTTTATTTTGGATTTAGTGGGGGGAAGAGGTGAAACTGAATGTGACAACTTTATCTGAGGGTTTTTGTCATGATTTTGGGGTCCAAGTGAAGATTTTTGAGGACCTCTTTGTTAAAAACAAATAGATCTGCAAAAAGTCACCGTAAGAATTTAAAAAACTTGAGAATTCTCGAAATTTTCAAGTTCTTTGCCCTCAAAGTTTCTGTTTTTGGAGACTATCTCCTTCAGGCTCAGAGACATTAATCAAAAACTCGTTGTTTTTGGCCACTTCCCAACTGAATTATCTTCCTATTACCTTCCTAAATTATCCTATACAAATCAAATTTGTACGTGAATCTTTACAACAAGCATTTGTGTTTAATGAATCCACTGGGTTGAACAGACACCAGCTGTCGCCGAAACAATAAAGCAGAATAATTTTTCAAATAATTCTTACATCACTCGATTTCATTTGTCCCACGGTCACGCAGGAGGATAAAGTACTGGGTGGGAGGAATATCTAGGATTCGTTAGTTCTCACGTCTGGTGAAACCTCGATTTTCATTTTCTCTTTTGATCTGGGGGTCGAAGTGGTAAAACGAATCTTTTCTTCGTGGTTACAAATGTCGAATTATCACGAGAACGAGCGGATTGATGAGAAAATGTCAAATACATTTTTGATAGGAAATTTCATTATCTACAAAAAAGATCTTATCACATTTTCCCTTAAAACCACTCATTATCGAGATAATCAACAAAAACCGAATGAGGAAACCCATTTAATCATCGACTCATTCTTTTTTCCAACTGCTTCCCCGACTCCTTCATCCCCATTTCGAATAATTTACAATAAATTTATATCCGAATACACGAAACATTGAACAATATCATGTCCTTAATTACCTTGATTAATGCTTTACCAAGCTCACCGAGAATAATTTTCACTATGAAATTATGATTGAAAAATCGAGGTAGGTTTAATCATTCATTGGCATTTAAACACTCAGCATTCGTCAATTGCCTCATTAACTTGAGCTAGATAAATAGTAGTGGCCTCTGGTACAGCTATTACAGCCTCGCCGTCAATACTCAGTACCTCAGGTCTCATGTTCAAGCATCACCAGAAGTAATCATCGTCCAGGTAAACTCAACAGCATGATCTACAGCTGCACAACATTCTCAGACTTGATTTTATTAGTTTATTAACCTGCTGCTTATTCGTTGTTTTATCATCGATCGGTTCATCGTGGTCAACGTAATCCCACTGTACGTTGAATACATATTTTGAACGGTGATCTCCTGATTATCAATCGCAATGGAGCACGATAACGTGAATTTCATTCCTTGTGATCAGGATCAGGTTTTGTTTTTGGTTCCATTGTTGATGATCGTGAGTGGTGGGAATTTGTCTGATTTTTTGGTACGAGGAGAACATTACCCTCGGCTGACTGCTGGAAACTGTACTCGTTACGACTGTACTGGTTGCCATCTGGGTCTCGCATTGACTGAAATAAAAATCAAAAATCAAAATTGAAGAGTAGTTTCAATTCGTCTTTACTAATTTCGTCGATAACTCGAAAACGAGAGGTTTTAGGGGGAAATATCATAAGATATTTTTTGTAGCTGGTAAAATTTCCCACAAAAAATGTCATGTGACATTTTTACTTAAAACCACTCATTATCGAGATAATTACGTTTTTAACGAGGTGTAAAGAGTCGACTTGTTCTCTTTTATTTTGCAAAAATTCTGCAGTGAATTCCCTCCATTAATATGACAAAAATAAATTGAACAAACCTGGAATACATGAGCATACAGCTGATGATACTTGGCTTTCACCCGTTGTGTCTCCATGAGCATAAATTCCCGTTCACGAATGAGACGCAATTTACGATCACGCATTTCCTTGACTTGATCAGCAAGACTGATGATCTGATCGAGTTTGCGTTTGCGACAATTTTGCGCAGCGACTTTGTTCTTTCCACGCCTCCTGATGTCACGAATTAGAGTCAACTGCTGCTCACTGAGATCGTACTTGCTGAGACGTTCGTTAAACTCGTCCATCGGCAAGTTGATGATGTCCTGGACGGTTATGGGAACGTTCAGAGATCTCGCTTTCTTCTCGTCTCTGGTCAAGTGTTCGTCCGCATCGTGTTTACGTGCTGTGAATAAATAATTGTAAATTAATTACAAATGAATTATTTCTCAGATCATGAAATTCTCTGCAAAAATGAGATATTTAGAGATTTGATGAGATGTGAGATTGTTTTTCATGTCATAAAGAATTTTCTTTACAAAAAATCATCCATTTGGAGATAATTAAAGTTTCAATGAGATGAGAAAAATCGGTTGTTCTCTTACGTTTCATTTTCGTAGTGAATTGTCTTTTTAAATTGTGAATTTATCTTATAAACGAGTGATTTTCTGCAAAAATGTGAGAAATCCTTTTATGTAGATCACGAAATTCCCTATAAAAAATATCTTCTGACATTTTCCTCAAAGATAATTCATCATGAAGATAATTAATGATTTAATGAAATGTGAGAAATGTATCAATTTGTTATTCAACAATATTATATGCATAAATTCAATTGATCTCTACCTTTACCTTTTTTGTCACGTGACAATGGTCTCTGCATCGGTCCAGAGTTGTCCCCAGGCAGGTGGTACGTGTGATTATGGTGAACATGTTCCAGAGCTGTTCTTCCTGGTATTTGTGGAACTGATAATAAAATCAAATTACCAAAAGTTCAACAAATGATGACGAGCGGATGGAGAATGTGATTTTACCAGCTTGATGACGTGAAAAATCTACACTGCAGCTGTACTTGAGCTCAGGTTGGGGTCCAGCTGCACCTTCAATTGGCCCTGAATAGGCATTCCCAGGAGGTCCAGCACCCACAGTGTGGCCATCGTACTCGTACTTTATGGGAGTCGTTGGATGGGGGCTGGCGCCAAGCAGAGAGCCTGTACCCAATCAATTTATTAATCGAAAACTTCACAGTCGTCATCATCGTATCAAACAAATGATGATAAAGACAATGATTTATTTATTTATAACTTGTAACAAAACTTTTATTCAATCATAAACGTGATTTTCGTTCCATTTTCACATTAACTGAATAATGTAAACAAAGAATGAATAAATGAATATAAATTTTAAATACAAAAAAAGTTTTCCTGATTTAAGTAACTTTATTTGTCGGAAATTAAATAATTGTTTAGACGAAGAGAACAAATTCATTGGCGTTTAATCATGGTTTATTTGGTTTATTTTATTTGATTGAAATTTGTCATTTCTCTGGATTCAATAATTATTGAATTTAATTTAATAAATTAATTTAAATTAATTATTTTAATTTTATTAATCTATAATTACATTGTAATTGAGTAATTATAATTACTCACCGGTTCCCTGCTCCTGGAAACATCTCTTCCCGAACATTTGGTGCTTCTTCTGGGCAACTGGAGGCACTCGGTCAGCTTGGCAACGCGGTGACCCTCCATTCCTACCCCCTATCGAGTAGTTGCAGTCGTATGGCATGCGATATTTGCTGCAAGAATAATCAGTTGTTCAATTTGGGATTTGGCTTCAGCTTTTTATGAGGATTTTCGAATTGAAGGGAGATACGAAATTTTTGTCTCAACATTTTTTCGAACTATCGTTTGTAGATGAGATTCAGATCCAGAGGTATTAATGTAACACGAATGGTAAATTGAATTGACTTATTCAATCAATTTTCAAAGAATGAATAAACTTTTTTTTTTTCAATTGAAATGAAAAAATTTAAAGAACATTTTGATGTTCATTTCATCACTAATTTGTCACTATTTGTGTTAGGTTCTGAGATATCAATAAAATATTAATGTCAAGTTCAATTGACTTATTTAATCTCTTTTTTAATTTAAAAAATCAATTGAAGTATAAATAAACAAAAAATCTATCTTAAAAAAAAATATATAAACTATTTTTCATTATAAATTCGCAACTAGTTCTGTTAGACTCATAAATATCAATAAAACATGAATTTTAAATTCACTCAACTTATAAATCTTTGTTTAATAAAAAAAATTAATTTAAATAAATTATTGTGAAGTATTTTTCATCATAAATTTTTCACTAAATCTTCCTCAATAACAATAATTTCAACCTGCAATTCACTCATTCAATAAATTTTGAAAACAAATAAAAAAAAAAGAAAAAATCTAAAATAATCAATTTCAGAAAAATCATTCTGAAATGCATTTAATCACCAATTCAACGTTATTTCTGTTAATTTCATAGATATTACTAAAATATCGATGTTAAATTGAATTTACTGATTCATTTAGTAAAAAAAAAAGAAAAAATTTCAATTGAAAAAAAAAAATCAATCATAAAAAAATATATTCTGAACGATTTTTCATCATTAATTCGCCACTAGTTTTGTTAGACTCATAAATCTCAATAAAACATGAATTTTAAATTCACTCAACTTATAAAATCTTTGTTTAATAAAAAAACCAATTTAAATAAATTATTGTGAAGTATTTTTCATCATAAATTTTTCACTAAATCTTCCTCAATAACAATAATTTCAACCTGCAATTCACTCATTCAATAAATTTTGAAAACAAATAAAAAAAAAAGAAAAAATCTAAAATAATCAATTTCAGAAAAATCATTCTGAAATGCATTTAATCACCAATTCAACGTTATTTCTGTTAATTTCATAGATATTACTAAAATATCGATGTTAAATTGAATTTACTGATTCATTTAGTAAAAAAAAAGAAAAAATTTCAATTGAAAAAAAAAAATCAATCATAAAAAAATATATTCTGAACGATTTTTCATCATTAATTCGCCACTAGTTTTGTTAGACTCATAAATCTCAATAAAACATGAATTTTAAATTCAATAAACTTGTTAACTCTTTTTTTTAATAAAAGAAAATTAATTAATAAAAATTATTCTGAAGTATTTTTCATCATAACTTCATCACAAAGTCATTCCCAACAATTACCTCGCATAATCCATGGAATAATGTGAATCCGGCTGCGTGTGACTGGAATTGGATCCAGTCTCCATCCACTCTCCATCGGACAGTGGTCCACGCTCGCTCCCCATGCTGCTGACAGCGCTGTCACTGGAGGCGTCCATCCTCTCGTCAGTGACACCCCCCAGAGAAGTCACACCACCCCCCGAGCCGCCATTATTTCCCGCCCCCTGTACCCCCGGTAATGCAGCAGCACCTGTTGGTCCTGAGGCATTGTTGCTGCTGTTGTCCAGCATTCTCATCGAGTACATGCCTGACAATAAACAAATCGATAAAAAACAATCATGAATAAATGTCAGCACACACTGCTTCTTGGAAAATCATCAAGGCCTCTGCCACTCGATTAAGATAAATACATTGACTCGATGTTATCGAGGATCGGTCCGTATTTATACATTTTGTTGCATGGAAATTTCAACACGAAAATGCAAAGAGTTGCGGAAATTATTGCATAATTTAATCGAACAAATTAATGATAAGAGCATTATTTTCAAGGCTCTGAGATCACTGCGAGTCGTTCGTATCGGTTGACTCATCGACTCCGCGTCAGATAAATCAAACGAGACGTGAGACGAGGTTCCACTGACACTGACTTGATGTTCCCGGAAAAATCCGGAGGATAACTCTTCTGCAACTGTATCCGCGACAGATATCAAGTGTCAAATCCCCCAGAATCTTAGTGCGACGTCTGAATTTCTGATTAAATTGTTCAATTCACGGCGGTTCGGTTTCGCGAATTCTTTGGAGTGCAATTATCATATCGAATCTATCTCGACCCCGAGATAACGAATATTGACAAGACATCGGGAGAGATTTAAAAAAAATTAAAGGGAAACTGTGGAATTTGGTTCATTTTACGAGAGTGCGTTTATCTCGGGAATGTGTAGGTTTAGGAGAAAATGTCAGAAGAAATTTTTTGTAGCTGATTAAATTTCCAACAAAAAATGTTGAACGACATTTTTTTGCCACGTCACTCGTTATCTAGATAATTCGTGCTGAACAATTGTTTTATCCTCTTGAATGTTACAATTCGACTAACGAATTGTCGTTTCTATTTGTGTAATTATCTTGGGAGGGAAGGGTTTTAGCGGGAAATGTCAGAAAAACTTATCTGTAGCTGATGAAATTTCCAGTAAAAAACATAGAATGATATTTTCTCGCAAAGTCACTCATTACCTAAATAATTCGCGCCGAACAAGAATAGAATTTTTTTGTTCTCCGAACCGTTACAATTCCACCGATGAATTGTCTCTTCTATTTCCGTAATTATCTCCGAAACGAACGATTTGAGAAAAAAATACCAAAAACCTGTTTTGCAGCTGCTAAAATTCTCCACAAAAATGATTTTGCGCCAATTTCCTCTAAAACCGCCCCCAATCGAGATAATCAAAAGTCAACGACACCGACTAGAAGAGAGAAATGTAAAAAAAACGGGAACACCAGAATCAGTCGAAGAAATTCTCGGCTGACTAAGCAATAGTTCCAGTCACACGATAATACCTCAACGGAATTGATAAATCATGCATGAGGTATTGGCACATTGGCCCGTACGATAAAAACAGTCATCCGCATATTCATCCATCCGCTAATATCCTGTCGTGGGTTGATTAGCACAGTTGGGCAAACTAACTGTTGATCCGTAAAATAATACCGCGATACCACTCGTAACTTCTGGGCTTTCAGACTCATCCGGTTTTCCGTCATTCTTCCATGATCATTTGCCCACCTTTTTCATTCATACCTCAACACGCAAGTTCATGAATTCATAAACGTACATGTACACTGTAAACAATTTTAATGACGCCGCGATGACTTGACATTTTCTACATTCATTATCACGATTAGAATGATATTGATTACCTAACTCGGTGGGAAGACTGATAAAATGTTGTTTTCTTGTCAAAAGTTCCCTGACTTCAATCGAAATTCAGGGAAAGATGTTCATCTAACTGAAAAACCGTCTTTCGTTCAATCCCCGATATCTCCCGATCTGACGATCCGATTTGGACAAGTCGGGTCTCATTTTCAAGGTCTCGAAAAGATCTTGAAATTGATGAAAAAAATTGGGGGAATTCACTCAGCTGATGTCGAGATATTCGGAATTGAATATCTCGCTTTTTATTTCTCCGTTTGTTCTTCGAAAAAGTTGGCTAAAATCGCGTTTCTTACATCTTCAATATCTTGGAAACGAACGATGGGATTCGGGCGATTCACATCTCATTCCAAAGATCACGAAAAAATCTTGAGAATGAAAAAAAAATCGCGAATTTTCACTCAGCCGATCTCCAGATATTCCCGATTAAACATGAACAATCATACGAACCGCACTTTTAATTTTGTATTCGTCACAAAGATGAACTAATTGACCTTCATTAATTATTTTCTGTATTTCCATAAACACAGGTACCTACTGGGACTGAAGCCGATGATCCCCATGCTCGCCATTCAGAAAATCCAAAAGTTTCACCGAATCCACTGAATAAATCCCGAAAAGCGCTGAATCCACGATTTTATCTTTTTTATATTTTCAACTTTCAACTACAATTTTCTTTTCAATTTCATCACTTAGCAAATTCACAACTGGTAATCCTCACACACCCGTCGTCTCCACAAATTCCATTTTAATGTAAAAATATCCCATGGAACAATAGTCACTTGAGGGGAATTTTATCCAATCAAACATCGCGAACGCGGTTTCAACTCCCCAGATTACTCAACACTTTATCTTATGATAATACGGTATCATTTCGCAATTCCAGAGTACAATGAGTGACACCCAGAAAAAAATACCAGACATTGACAAAAATTCGCAGCTAACCGAGACTTAATTACAAATTATTCTTAATTTTTCGCCTTCACCAATTCAATGTCTTCCCTTTATTCATTAACAATTCCGCCTTCACTCGGTGAAATTCTGTTTTGACGACCCCGAGAGCTCACTGTGAGATAACGATGGATCGATAACTGATGGATTAATCAATCCATAAGTCATTAGATCCGATCGTTTCGATGTTTTCGTCGCGAAGGAACTGAGAGAACGTCCGCTCGTTTCAAAGCACCGCGGGCCACTAACTCGCGAGTGTACCATCCGCGAGTCTCGTCACTCCGGAGCGTTAATTCATTGTCAAATGTGTTTTGACGACTCGACAAAAGCCGCGAATTAACGAAACGGGCATGTGGATCATGCGGGTGTGAGCATGTGAGGGAGAACTGATGACTGAAGCTGTTGCTATTTGAGAAAGCGCGGACACATTGGGATGTATAGCATCATCGAGGTTTCTTTCAATGACTCACCCCACTCCGTCATGGTTATATGTAGTTCGTAGACGAGTGGATGGGCTTCTGCTGGAGGAAGATATGAAATTTCATTCATTGTTTATAGAAGAGGAATTGTGATTGCGGAATTTCTCGGGATGATTTGATTTTGTTGGTTTTGGAACGGTGAATTTACCGGGGGGGAGTGGGTTTGGGGGGAAATGTTGTTCCACATTTTTTGTTGGAAATTTAATCAGCTACAAAAAAGGTCTGATGATGTTTTCTTGTAGAGTCACTCATCGTCGAGATAATTCGGGTTGAACGAGAGTGGAATTGCTGTGTTCTATGAAATCCTAGAAATCTGCTGATGAATTGTCTTTTCGATTCGTGTAATTATCTCGGAAAGGAAGTGTTTTCGGAGGAAATGTCAAAAGAACTTTTTTGTAGCTAATTAAATTTCGAACAAAAAATATTGAGTGATGTTTCCTCGTAAAGTCACTCACTGCCGAGATAAGTAGTTTTTGATGAAAGAGGTGATGGGAAAATATGACTCGTGACGTTTGACCACATCCCCGATGAATCATCATGCGACAAAAATAATGACTCAAATTTCGCACCCTGATGATGAATTCCGTAGCCCCTCGAGTACTCAGAAGAGTAAAAGTCATGACGGGTGCATCGTCTGCACAATCAATTTCGACATGACGCGGGAGAGGAGAAATTCAACTAAAAGTTCACAAACACGAGTGTTGAATCAGTGTTAATGTGAACCTTATCTCAATCCTTTAGCTCAACGTACGTCGTATTTCCAGTTACGATAATACGAGAGCCACGCAAATTACTGGACTATTGTACTCTCAATACGTCAAGAATTCATAAAAATTAAAGTGAGAATTCTAGCAAATTGTAACGCTTGAAATCCAACAGTTTTTCAAACATTGTCTTATTATTTGTCGATCTATCGTAAAATCTAGTGGTTATAGAAAAAAATATCATAAGACTTTTTTGTAGCTGATTAAATTTTCTACAAAAAATGTTCTATGACTTCTTTCCCGAGAACCACTCATTAACAAGATAATTAACGATTCAATAAAATGGGAAAAATCCTGTTATCTCATTACCTTAAATCCTACGATTTTTATCATTATTATTTATTTATTTATCTCAAAAACGAGTGATTATGGAAGAAAACATCATTAGACTTTCTTGTAGCTGATAAAATTCTCTACAAATAATGTTTTACAACGTTTTTCCCTAGAACCACTCATTAACAACATAATTAACGATTCAAAAAATATAAAAATTCCTATCTCATTACCTAAAATTCTGCGAGTTTGATCATTATTATTTGTTTATTTATCTCAAAAACGAGTGATTATGGAAGAAAACATCATTAGACTTTCTTGTAGCTGATAAAATTCTCTACAAATAATGTTTTACAACGTTTTCCCCTAGAACCACTCATTAACAACATAATTAACGATTCAAAAAATGTAAAAATTCCTGTTATCTCATTACCTCAAATTCTGCGAGTTTGATCATTATTATTTGTTTATTTATCTCAAAAACAAGTGATTGTGGAAGAAAACATCATTAGACTTTCTTGTAGCTGATAAAATTCTCTACAAAAAGTGCTTTACAACGTTTTCCCCTAGAACCACTCATTAACAAAATAATTAACGATTCAAAAAATGTAAAAATTCCTGTTATCTCATTACCTCAAATCCTACGATTTTTATCATTATTATTTGTTCATTTATCTCAAAACCGAGTGATTATGGAAGAAAACATCATAAGACTTTTTTGTAGCTGATAAAATTCTCTACAAAAAATGTTTTACAACACTTTCCCCTACAACCCCTCATTGCCAAGATAATTAACCATTCAACAAAAAAAATCACCTATTTTGTAGCATATCCCCTTTCCCCCGACAAATCAGCAACCAATTGCCATGAAGTCTCGATGAAAAAGTAAAATGTGACTTCATGAACGTAAATT